GGGAATTGAACTGTAACCTCCCGGTTCATAGGCCGATGCTCAACCACGGAGCCAAGCCGGCCGGGCTATATTTAAATAATTGTATATTCCCTTTCAAAATAAATGAACACTTTAAACAAGATGACAGGAAATAACACTACTATTAACATTGAGAAAAAGCCTCATTAAACACCACTTTTTTAGAGTGGCTTACCCAGATGGCACCTAGTTGATTTTTAAGTGTCAACTGCCCAGATGTAAAAAACAAACAAACAAACAAAATAAAAAAAACACAAGTACCTCCAGAGTGTATGTAAGCCCTTGGCAATATTTTCTAAAGGGCAGTTAGAAAATAAAATTGTCCTACCATCATGTCTAAGAAGTATTATACAATGCTGATAAACAACTATTTCAGGTTTTAGTATATATAACATATAAGGAATAAAATACCACAGAAATAGTAAAGTTTGCACAGACATTGTTCACAGCTGGTTGAAAAGACTAAATACTTATGTGATTTTTCAAATTATAATTAATATTTTTACTCTTAAAAACTTGGCAAGACAAGTGTTTGTTTTAACATTAATAGGAAATGAAGCCCCTGGGAAGTGACAATTAAGAGCTAAATGTGTGTTTTCGTTTCACATCAGTAATCTAGCCATACGTTTGGGGGCGTCCTTTCTCATGTGTGCCACTTTCGAAAAATCAATAAAAAGCATGTGAAATATCTAAATGAACACAGGGGAAATAGTGTCAGAAATCAATACTTCTCTACCAGCATGTTTAACCTGCTGAAATGAAGTGTTAAGCACAGAAATAGGATACCATATTACATTTATATACTAATGAAACCAGAAAAAGCAAAACATGTGACACTATAATTAAACAGCTGGAAGACATCCAAGCCTGTGTAAGTTGATAACCTTGGTACAATCTCTGGCAGTGAAAAGGCAGGTCTGCAGTGAGTTGATATGGCCAGTGCAGTTGTTAATTGAATAGCAGGCAATCTATAAACACTACTAATTGCATATGTGAAAACCTGTGCACAACTAGAAAAGCTGCCTAGAGAAGCACTCCAGAAAAACTACGTGGATAAAGCACTTGGCAAATCTTCTGTCTCTCTCAATCCCTGTGAGTCGGAGCTTAGTTTCGCCACTGCATCCTTCTGATTAACCTGCACACAGCAGACTTAATGGTACATTTTTCAAAGGATCATTTTTCTTCCTAACCAGATATGCACCGCACAACTATCAATTACCCACTCGTTTCAGAAAAGAATAAACAAGCAATCTAGAAAATTCAGCTTGTGAATGGAAAGCTTTCTACATCGTAAAAGAAGACATGGTCTTATTCCCAACAGGCAAAATGCTTTGCGGAATTGTTCCGGCGCATTTTGCAGAAGTGTGGCAGCTGCTGCGAACAGCATGGAGTGTTAAGATTTGACACTTTTTTTTTTTTTCCTTAAGGATATAGCCATTTGGGGAGGCTCAGAAACTGTTGTCAGAATTTTACTATTCATCCATTTAATAAATCCTTTTAAAATGATTATTGCTCTAGGATCTAAATCAAACTTTTTAAAGTTTTGAATCTGTAAAGAAGATGGCTTAGCCCAAGGTTTTAGTTAGGAAACACGGGATCTCCTCCAGTTTAATATACAAATTCAAATAAGGCCAGTTAGGAGGAAAGGTTGTTATCATTCGAAGAGTGTCGAGCAGCTCCCATAAACTGAATTGAGACTTAATCCACTCCGTAGTAAATATAATACCACATCATGAAACCTGAAACTACCAATCAGGGTATTGTACCATTTTCAGAAGCACAAGTATTGAGGCCAGACTGACTTGTACTCAACTCACACCATGTCCCGAACACAAAAGAGTTATTGGCAAGAAACTTCAGACTGCTGGGACTCAGTTTCTTCATCTATGAAGTGGGAATTAAAATATACCTCATAAGGTTGCTCTGAGGAATCAAAGAGATAATATAGGCAATATGGTTAGCAGAGTGTGTAGCATAAAAGTGCTCAATAAGGTAGACTTCATAAAAAACAAAGCATGTGTTAACCATTATAAACAAATGGAAAGATTAAAATAGGTGTAGCAACAGCATGTCATCAAATAACTCAATGGTTCCTGATGCTGAGTTTTCTCCCATGTTTCCTCAGGATAGAAGAGAAATTCCTTGGAAAAAATACAAATTTGAATGTCTCACTTTAAGATATAGACATCCCTTAGCTAACACTCTCCCAAAACTAAGGGTAATTCCTCAAGGCTCTCGTTCACTTAGAAATAAAAATGAAAAGCAACTATAAAGAATCATGCATTGTAACAAAGGGTAAGTTTATAAGTAGGAAGCTGTGACACGTGGGGTGCACAGGAAATGAATGAAGTATGTGAAAGAGCTGGGGTCTCTGCTTTTTATCCCAGGTATTTGCTATCTGGAGAACTCCTCCTCTCAAAAGTCCCCAGACCACCAGAGAAAGGCTGGATTAAGTGTTGAGAGAGATGTTCATTTCCATC